AAAAAAAATCTTTTTGGGTTTGATGATTCTTTTTTTTTTATTCATGGAATGAAAGTCCAAATAAAGCTCTCTAGATATGATCTATCAAATTAAAATAGCTCATATGAATAGCAGCTAAGTCACAGTAAAAAGCAGGCATTAAATAGATGTTTGTAGAACCAGATACATCTAAAAATAGAAGCAACTCTTGTCATCATTCAAGCATTTTGCGTATCCTTACTGTCTCTAAACACTATGGAGTCCTTTTTTCTCCTCAGCTTTAATTAAAAACAATTGTTTGGCTTGGTTCCCTAGACCATACATATTGTTGAGCTTTGCATTTGAATTCTGTCCCTCTGGTGAGGGTCTAATATCAATGACCCTGCGAAAGTTACTGAGTTACCTTTGCTTTGTAATGGGTGGTGTAATTGGACTCTTTTATTGTAGTGATATGAAAATGATATCACTGGTGATAGGGTTGACATGATTCCCTCTTTTCCATCACTTCTAGAAAATGGGGGCATTTATGCCAGATCAAACCCTTCCCTCTCCCTCTTCCCTTCTATAAACCAGAACCCTTATGATGCTGCAGATCTGATTTTGAAGTTAAATGAGGTTATTCAGAGCCTTATGTAGTTGACATCTGAAACCACCCAAGGGTGGAGATGCCACAGCCTCCAAACCAAGTCTTGTACTGGTGTCTCAAAACTGTACATAGCATTCCAGGTGTTGGCTCCGTTTCAGAGGGATATTCCTTTTCCTTTACCTGTATAAATTTATATAAAAGTTTGTTGGTTTTATATGTTTGTATTCACATTTTATATAAATATGGATAGACTGAGGTGATTATTTACCTCTACTCTGTATATATATAATTATGTAGAAATATATGAAATATATATAATATGTTTTATGGTATCTATATTTTTATATGTATGAATATGCATAGGTATGTACACACATATATCAAAATAGGTACTTGAAACGGATTTGCCATCCTGGATGTAGGTACAGATTTTAGGGAAAAGTGGAACTGAACCTGCTGCAGCTGCCTGATTAATGGCCATTTGTGTATGACCCAGTACACACAGGGAAATACACATAGAGCAAGTAAAGAAAATACTTTTCAAAGTTCCCGAATGGTGAGAACTTACTTGAAAGAGTTGCAGGTTTATTGCATAGACAGATTTGTTGCTTTGGTTAGAAACATTGTTTTCCTGTGTTAAGTTTGATTAAAATATTTTCATAGAATCATTTAGGTTGGAAAAGACCTCTGAAATCCTCAAGTTCAACCTTTGACCCATCACCACCTTGATTTGCTTTTGTTCATTTGAATATTTTCAAATTATAAAAGATTATGCATTTTTACTTATTGTATTCAAGATCTGAATGAATCACAATAAGCCACTACCAGTGTTTGCAAATTCATCTGTTTCTTATGCAGATCTTGATTAGTACAAAAAAGAAATACTTGTAAGAGTAATGTTTGATTCATGCTTATTAAACTGTTTATAATGTGCTGACTCAGTGACTGAGGGGAGACCAATCCCCAGAGAAAGCATCAAATTTAGTCTAATGCGTGCACATGATGGATTTGCATTAACACTTGCTCCAGGTTCAGGATTTAATTCCTGCAAATGAATCTCTCTAGAAGTAAAAAGCAAACCCATGTTTGCTTTAGTAACAGTAAAGTCAAATTTTTCTACTTGTCCTGCTACTGCTTTGGCAATGTAAAGGGCCTCTTTTCCCTTTGGTAGCCTCTAGGTACCTCAAGACTAAAAGACTGGGTGAAGGTTGGTTTTAAGAATCATGTTTCACTATCTCCAGAGATGCTTCCAAAGCTGAACTGTGGGAAGTACCATGTATAGGAGTCATGGCTCCTGTAGTAGAAAATAAGGTCCTTTGGATGGCTGAAATGCAGTTTAAGGATGTCCTTGCACCTAAATTTCTATTTGTAAGTCTCTTTGCTCTTTGCATACTCCTGCTTGTCTAGGCCTTGGTTTGCAATACAGTCTTAGGCAGTACAATTGTGAGTGACTCCAGAGCTGCGTTTCAAGCCAAATTTGCGAATCATCCAGACTGTTGACCATCTGGAACAGATCCTGGGCTGGCTCTGAAGCAGTCCAGCTGGTACTCAGGCACTGGACCGCTTTGTGGACAGGCTCAGGCGTTGTGTGCCCAGCCCAGCTGCTGCCTTGTATTCCAGCTATCCTTGCATTAGTGTCACGTATTATGATACAAGATAGCCTGGACTCCTTCCTAAATGGGGCCAGGGATTCTCTTCCAGAAGAGAAGACAACACTGGAACACAACCTGAATTCAAGCCAAGTTTTTGCTGTTCACAGAGATATAGCTTAGCCTGTGGGTAAGGTACAGTATAGACATAGCCTGTGGGCCTCAGATCCCCATAAACAGCACAAGGAGAGATATTTCTCTGTCACATAAAGGTGTTGTCAGGATACAGACATGCTACTTTTTTAAATGCCTAGGTAAAGCTGTTTTGAGGAATGTACCAAAGACAGATTTTTTTATTTTTGTAGTTGGAGTGGGATTTATATGGGTAAAAATGGCTTTTATCTGAGTCTAGTCTAAGCTGGTCATCCACAGTTATCTACAGGTGCTTAAAAAAAAAAAATTACTTTTATACCCTGATTCTTCTGACCTTCTCAGGTATTTGCTTTAGGAGAAGAACTAACCTACATCATATCCTGAGATGTGAGTGGATGGCTAGCTCAGAAATGGACAGTGATAGTATGACGCAGTAATGACAGCCCATGTGTATTCAGACAAGTCAGTTGTGCATATAGCTTCATTTTGATAAAATTATAGGGAAAGCAGTAAGGGTTTTACAGAAACCTGAAATACTGACTGGTTTTTACGTACAAAAGACTGAATTGTATTTTAAGGCACCTTAGAAACTGGGAATATGAATCGATAGCTCCAGCAAGGATGCCGAACAAAGGTGATTGGAAAATTTCTATTAGAAGAGATTATCTAGGGAAAAAATTATTTATTAATTTATTTGTCTATGATATTTTGCTAATAATTTTATAATGAAAATCCCATGCCACGTGACAAAAAATTCCTACTATACCATATGTCACTAAAACTGTGAGTGTGTGAGTGTGTTTAGTCCTTGCAGATTTATTGGTAAATTCAGCTATGGTTTTATAAATCCTGCCAATGTTTGTCCTAGTTTTAAAATTTAACTCCTTTTCAAATGTTGGTATACTTTGCCAGTAGACAAGTATCTTGTTTTGATTAAAAATGTAAGATCCTTTTAAATGAGAGTCCTGGTTATGAGTATCCTCAGAGCCAGGGGAGGGTTGGCTGCTGTAAGCTGGCCATGGCTGATTTTCAAGCTTCAAAACTATTGTTTGTACCAAGGCCTCATCTGGGGACATTGATCATGTTCAGATCTGCTGGAGCGTTAAAAAAAGAAAAGATAAAACCTTTAAAATCTGAGAGTCTGAGTATTGCCAACAACTAGGTAGAAGTTGGCAGCTCGTACAATGCAGTGTGTCAGATACGCTGTCTCTCACACTTCACACAAGTTTTAGGCCTAACTTAAATAAAATGTGTTTTTAAAGTTAATATTTTTAGAGTAATTTTAAATTCTGCTTACTGAATTTTTAAGATCTAAGTATTCCTGAAATTTATCTCTCTTTTCTCTCTAAGCATGGACTTCCACAGTAGCTCCTGTAATTGGCACAGCACAGAAACAAATACTTGTATGAAGGAAGATGTTTCCTCAGAGACTTTCAAACTTTAAAAGATTAATTCTTGCTCAACTTTCCTTCATGTTTATTAGAAAAAAATACATAGATAGAATATCCTTTTTTCTCCAAATATGGTGCATTTTTCTTCCTAATTCAATTTTTTTACATTTATGAGGTTACCATGAACTGAAGTCACTGGAAATCTAACATCCTAGAAAAGCATTCAGGTATATCCTGTATTCCTGTTGGGGAAATCCCAAGGAGTGTTGGCTTTTTAAAGTGTTGGCTGCATTTTTTCTGTTATTTAAAATGTGTGTAAATCCATAGAATATAATATAACATTACTTGTTGGGTTTGGTTTTGTTTTGTTTTTTTTTTTTAACATTCCAAGGTAGACAGTATATGGTTTTATTTTCACTTAGAGTGAATAAAAAGGATTGATTCTTCTGAAATCCCTCCTGATAAGAACCAGAAACAAACATAAGGGAATGCAGATACAAAGGGGAAGGAGTAATGCCCTGCTTATGTATAAAGTTCATTAGGAATGACTGGTAAGGGAAGAGCATAGCTCATGAACATATGGGAAATCAGTTTACTTCAGAGAACTCAGGGTGAAAGGAAGGGATGTCTGCTTTTTATTAAAACCTGAAATGCATTATAATTGTCCTGAATCTTTGCCCAGATGGCTTCTCTTATGCTGACATCTGCAAGAGTGTATATAAAGTAACATTAAGAAGCTGTCTCTTGTGACAGTGTGTACACATGTAATTCTGTTAAAAACTAAGTCTTTTGCTATCTGTAGTGTTGGACTTTGAATAAGCATGCTGAGAAATGTCATTTGTTTGACAAAAACTAATTATGGAACATGTTTTTTACATGGAAAGTTTCTACTGCATCTGAGAAAACTTTTTAGGGCTTTTCACCTATTTTAGTAGATTCTTTTTCATTCTTCATCATAAATTCCAGGTAAAGTGGGATGTTCTTTGCTTTTTAGTTTGTTTTTTTTTTTTTGTTTTGTTTTGTTCATCAGAGGGAACACAACATTTCTTGTTGCAGTCCTATGTATTTTTTTCTAAAATTTAAGTGTAATTATTTTGAATGTTCATGTGTGAATTTAAGCTGTTTTCCACTGACTAGCGAAAAGCTTAAATGATACTACGATGCATTTCCTATTAAACAGGTTGGTTGATGACAGTAGATGCAATGTAATATATCCATTAGTCCATTCACTTGTGTCTGTAACTCACAAGGTAATACTTTTTTAAAAATAGGCTGTCAACATACTGCTTCTTCCTTTGTCAGACAACAGGAAAATTAAAGTCAATGGCACCAGGGAACCTATTGAGTTTAAGACAAATCAGTGGTTTGGAGCAACAGTCAAAGCTCATAAAGAAAAAGTGGTGGTAAGTCTCATGCATTTGGTATTCATTTAGAGACAACATTTATTTTCCTCAAATGTCTATCTTTAATAGCACTCTATGTGTATATTCTGGAAATAACTTTGATTATGTATGAATTATAAAACAGATTATGTATATAATTTAGAAAATTAAAGCAACTTATAGAATCAGGTTGAACTCATCAAGTGAAGATGATTCTGCTGCCATATGAAAACAGCAGAATGCCATATTGTTATGGAAGTGAATGATGATATTTTTTAAATAGATAGTGGACATACCTTAGAGATACAAAGGTATCTCTATCTAAAGATAACTCTATGCTATAAAATGTTTTGTATTACAAAGGTATATTTTGAATGTTAAGTACAGAATGCAATGAAATTATATGTATTGGAATGTAATGAAATGTAATGAAAGCCAAGAACCTCTGTTGAAGTTCAGTTAGTAAGAGAAAGCACTGACCTCTTTTGTCACATTTACGTTGTTTTCAGCAGCTATGTCGTAGTCATGGTAAAACAGCTGCAAAAAAAGTCATTATAAAAAAGCTCCAAATCAAGATGGCTGTCAAAATGTAATGTCTGTTTTCCAGTTTCACTGAACATTTTACCTGTATTGACAGAGGCCTTTATCAGTGAGCATTTTTATTGCTTAGTAAAGTGGTGGTGATGCTTCTTATGCACAGAGATTTTATATTTCCAATTTATCCACTCACTGAAAATGGCAATGAAGTAATTGTGATAAGAATAGTTGATTTGTTCATTAGTTGTATTAGCTTTTACAATTACAGAATAACAATTTGGGTTTGGATTTCCTTAAAACGTCCAACTTAAAATAATAGTCATAAGGGAGGAAGTACCAATTGGAAATGCTTCCCCTTATATCATATGCCTTGTGGTTAACCTATGGAAGGATTTTGACATGAAACGGGTAATGAATAAAACATCACCCTATTCTCAGGGTTACAGAGCTAAGTAAACATAAAAATTCTAAAAATTCTGAAAATAGCTGAAGATATTTTAGTTTAGGTGCCCTATTGAACAACAATTCATAAATCAAAATAAAGTACTTCTTTATCACCATTTGCTAAGTCTTAATCAAGTGAGCGGAAAACCTCATCACCAACTGCTGTTCTGTGCCTATACTGACAAAACTTTGTTTCACTTCTGATACCTCTTGTCAGACTGAAAGGACAAAAATTTGGACGGCAAAACTGGAAAACTTTGTTAATCTTTGTACGCTGAAAGGAGAGAAAAAGAAAATTACATCAAACTGTCAGGAACTTTTTTAAGCTACAAATATCATAGTAAACTGCAATAGGTAAACTTTTATGGTTATATTGAGGGGTTTTTTTCAATCCATTTTGCTTGATATCAAATGTACCTAAAATTACCCACACTTACTCCTCTTTGCTGCACTTCAGTTTTGCTTTCTGTTTTAATATGCAAGGTTTTCTAGGCAGGGGCATGTTAACAGTACCTGTTCTTTAAGTGATTGCTCCAGAAGCTCTGACTTTTACGGCATGCTCTGAGTAGCACAGTGATTCATCCAGCTGGAACTGATTGCAGATCGAAGGCTTATACATTAATGTGAATATTAGCAATACTTTGCCAGAGGCAGACAGGTTTCTCATTGGAAAAGTAGGACAAGGCAGGACATGAATGAAGAATTTATTTGTATATTGCAGAGGCAAGGTTGTAAGGAGAGGTAGTGTCTTCACCCTCCCAAGACGTGAAAAGTTTTAGGGCATGGGACCCCCTGAAGCATGACTTGCAGACTTGATAGTTTATTGTTTTTATTTTTCTAATTATCTGAATTACCTCCAAAAAAGATAACTCTCTCTGCACAACTTGTATTATTATTTATCCTTACACTGTCATGTTTGTAACACCACTACTGTGACACAGAAGATTAAATGCTAGTTCTTTAACCAAAACTTACATAGCAAAAAACTGTTCACTCAGGCTTTTGAATGCATTATAGCTATATCATATCTACAAAGATTCGAAGCAGGCATTTATAAGAAGGAAGACAATCTGACGATTGGGATAGATAATACCACACAACACCCCAAAAAATTTCCTTCTGCTAAGTAGAGTGGAGTAACTCTGCTGCAATAACTTCTGTCTTAAGACATACCAGGACAGAACTGGGATTGCCTTAAGCCATATATATGTGATTTGCATCTTAAGCTACGGGATCAGGTCCTGTGCAATGAGAAGTAATAGAGCAAAGATATTACTTGTCAAGCAGGCTTAGAGGATATTTGTAACATGTGCTTAAATGTGACTCGTAGTCCCTGACTGATTTTACCTGCCAAAGGCTATAAGTAAAAGATCAGTGTACTTTTCAGTTAATAATGAAATTATATGAAGCAGCGGTCCTGCATTTTCTTCTGTCAATATCTTGTGATCGTTGCTGTATGAATGATTCAGTACCAGATAGAATCTTTGTACACAGTTTATTAAAAACTACATTTCCCAGATACCTGAGTGTGTGAAAGGTATGTGTGACATCTTTTCTATTTGGATAGGCTTGTGCTCCTTTGTATCATTGGAGAACCCTTAAAGATAGCCCTGAGAAGGACCCTGTTGGCACCTGCTATGTAGCAATTCAGAACTTCAGTGCTTATGCAGAATATTCACCTTGTCGCAACAGTAAGTATTAATATGAACAATCCTCTGTTGAAGGAATTGATATGGCACTCAGTGTTTTCATCCTTTCAGTCCTCACACAGTTTTAGTTGAATGAAGGTTGCTACATGATGTTATTGCATGGAGTGAGAGTGTAAAGAAAAATCAACATTAAATTATATTCCTGCAATTGAATGCTTTATTGTATAATTAATTGAAAGAAGAGACATTAAGTAAATTGTGTGCAGTTACAGTGATGAGCTATAACTGGTTCAATTTGAATGGATTTAAAATGTAGCTAGATAAGACAGATCTAGATAAGAACCAGATAGCATTTTAAACCAATTATTTATACTTATGCTGAGTATAAATCTCTCATCACAAGATCATCATTTGAAGACCACACCCTGTATAGAAACACACAAGACTGTGCCACCATTTGTGCCACTACCATCCATAACAGCTCATTTGTGAACTTTCAGCATGGAAGAAAGACATGCACATTAGCACTGCTGCTACACACTCTTCTCTGTGCTCTTCTGAGGTTGCAGTAGCCATCTCTGGGCCTTGCTTCCTGGGGAATAGGGAAAACTGCGTGTATGTTTAGAACCACATTCAGTTACCTAGAAATCTGGAGAAAATACCACACATTAGATTGTATCAGTCATTCATCTCATTCAGCATCCTATGTCTGGGTGTTTATGATGACTCTTAATACCCTCATTACCTCAGTGCTCCATATTATTAAAAGCAATATGAAGGATCCAGTGACTTTGGATTGAGCTGAATCTATGGCAATTTCTACAGTACAAATCAGAGAATTTTCTTTCAGTTACTTTTCTAAGCGTAGCATGTGCAAGATACCAAATATGATGGGCTTATCTATCCCTTCAGAGCAAAGCTATGGTGATGTTCAGTCTCACTGATGAGTAGTTGCTTCAAGTTGAGTGCACCAGCTGATAACACAAGGAGTCTGAATACAGTTCCTTGTCATGATACCCCTTGTAAGAGACCCTGGTATTGCAGATAAAATTCGTGCTGTGTGCACATGGGATAATTTCAAATCACACCTTTTAACTGTTCCTCTGCTGCAAACTGTGCTCCTGCCTTAAACTTTCTCATGGATTATTTTGCCAAGAATGTAACAGGCATTTTACAGAAAAAGTAGGCATAATTAAAAAGTCTCTTTCCTGTGGAGGTCTAAAGATAGCATCAGATCTTGTAGCTGGATTTTGTGACATCTGACAGATGTGTGATCATGTGGCCCAATAATGCTTTCTGTGGTCTATCAGAAATCTGCACACCAATAGCAATATGAGATATCACATTATTCTCTGGTTTTCCTCTTCCCACACTGAGGTATAGGACTAAACAGAGTTTTGCTGTCTTCCTTTAAAGTCTAATCCTTGTCCCTGGATGGAGAGTTGGAGAAGAAAACTGAATCTATAAGAAATAGTAATCATAAGATCTGCATCATGTACTTCTAATGTCTCACTGGGGCTCTGACGAAGGCTTCTGTCATTTGAAGACAGAGTTCAAGTGACCATTCCTGCTCTCAGCTTCCCAATCCTGCAGTCTTTCAGCACTCTGGTACAGACAGAATTACCCTAAAATGCATGCCAGCACACTTTGTACAATAACAGAAGGATTTGGAGACTAGAAATAAGAGTAGAAACAAATAGGAAGATTCGTATTGCCCGTAAAAATGTGCATCCAAAATTATATTATTTACACTTCATTCCTCATTGAGCAAACGTGTATCAATTAAAAGGCTGACCCTGGCAAGGGACATGTGTCCCTTTGCCTTGCCATAGTACAGAGAAGCTGGATTTTGTCTGTACATTGACCCATCCTGACCTGTCCATTATGTTAATATGTTCTGAGAATGCCTTAGTAAATACTTTTGTATTTATAGCAGATCAGACTGTGATGAACATTCTGCAATTTCTTGGGTTTTTACTTTTTTATCTCCAGCCAAATTTAAACGTATTCCCTGATAGTTGTTGCAAGGGTCCTTCCTTGGCAGTGAGAGGAAAAAGTCCCAAGTAGCAGGTCCCATTTTTCAAAATCTTCACAAGGGGCTGCATGTTCAAGGTACTGTAGAAGGTCTTGATTTGCTCTACTTCTTCTCGAAAAGAATACATCTTTTCCCATATTTTGGCAGATTTGTATTTACAGCCTTATAGCTCCAGAGGTGTGTATGCTATCTTCCACATGCACTGGGAAAAGAATAAAATGCTTCTACCTTCATAATTGCAGGCAATGCAGATCCTGAAGGACAAGGCTTTTGTCAAGCAGGTTTCAGCTTAGATTTTTACAAGGTGAGATTCTGCTTTTGAAGTATTTTGACCAAATGTAATTGTGATATATCCCCAGTGTTCAAGTGCTGTCTCAGTGATCATGAGTTTATCCCTAAGCTGTTGCATATGGGAAGTTTCTTGAAGTTGTTGCAAAGTCTTTCCTCCTTTTCAAGCTCCAAACTTTCTGATGTCATCAATAAAAGAAATACTCAATCAGCACCTGTTTATCTCTTTGCAGCACTCCAATCTAACTCTTCTCAGTTTAACTTAATAGATAATTAGGCAAACAATTGTACATGCGTCCATCTCAGTCTGTCCCACTTACAATGCTTTACAGGGACTTGACTTTCAGAAAGTAATGGGCAGGCACCAGCTAGTTTTAAAAAGTTAAAATAGCTTGTATAATGATGCTTTTGGAGGCAGAGTAGTCATTGAGTAAGACCATTCATGTGTGGGCTGAAAATGTTTAAGGGAAAGAACTAGTTTTTCTTAATGGCAAGAGGGTCCAGAAACAATATTGTGGGACAAAGGATAAACCTTGAAGCTATGGTTATTATCTGTGCCATTATTACAGCACCAGTACCTCACATAATTTTGACCATTGCCATTGTTTTCAGCGTTCTGCTGCTGCATTTTTATTTATATTATTAATAGCTATGGGGTTAAGACCTCCTTGTAGGGTAGACAAAAGTGTACTTCTCTGTAAAACATTACTGTTGCTTCACTGAATGTGAAGACTCTCTTTTATGATAACTTTGTTTTGTTATAAATAAGCAGCAATTTTTAGAATGCTATGTTAGCAGCAAAAAAAGACGACTTTCATTCAAGTGAACATGCACAGGATGATCTTAACCTTTTTTAACTCTGGATTTTCCTGTACATCCATGTACATCCTTTCCTTAAGCATGGCTATTCTCCTTTATCATGAGTCTCATATTATTTTGGTCATTTAAATAGTTTTTTTCCACGCCTGCTTACTTTTGTGATGTTCTTCTGTTGTGTAATTTTATTCAATTCTGCTTTTTGTAGAATGGAGACCTGATAGTGGGCGGGCCCGGTAGTTTTTATTGGCAAGGTATGTCCATCTAGCTGGGTAACTTGATCTAAGAAGTGAAGCAGAAAGTATTGTAACTGTAATTTCCATTGTTTTGTTGATTTAAGATAACTGGTCCCTTATCTTATTTTCAACAAATATAAATCAGAAGAACTGCTTAACAAGCAAATGAGCATACCTCAGGGAAAATTCAGGATGTAGGTTATATAGCAAGTGAAACAAATAAAAATAACTATTTTTATGTTGGCATTTAAGCATACTTGTCATTTAATTGATAAGTTGAATTTTTCCCTAGAAATACTGCAGATTTTAAAATAGCTAGTATTTATACAGCAAATGTACTTTTTTTAAAGCTTTTTTACTGTTTATTTCTAAGCACAACCCTTTATAGTTATCTGCATATATTTGAAGCTCATTTGTGACATCACTGTGGTTTCCAAGATGTAGTTTCTCATGTAGATAAAACCTAAAGTTGTTTTGGTAAAGGGTTAAAAGGTTATTTTTGTTTTAACCTGTTTTGACATGTATGATATAGCTGATTCCCAGCCTCTGCCTCCCAACTTGCCCATTTTCAGCCTCTTTGATGTGCATTTTTGCATTGTCATTAAAGAAGGAAGACCTAATTGATTGTTATGGTAGGGAATTCATAGCTCTGAATTCTCCACTGAGAAACTGCTTCCATTGGTCTACTATATTTGTAAGTGCAGTGACTTTAGTTTGAATCAGCACATTGAAATGGGTCTGGACGTGTTTTTGTGATGGTTCAGTAGAAATTCAATGCCTTGTTGTATGGATTTATGGGAACTCTTGAGACTTCCGGGGTAATAATGGAGAAAGATTGAGAGAAAATATCTACTCATTGCATCCATGTTGTATTATCCATTCAACTCTGTTCTGATCTTCTGAAAGCGCTGTTTTGTAGCATTTGGCTCTCTTTTATGTTCCTTGTATTTATGAAGCTGTTTGAATCCAGGTCAAGTAATCACTGCAAGTATTGCAGACATCATTGCAAATTATTCCTTCAAGGATATTCTGAGAAAACTGGCACGAGAGAAACAAACAGGAGTGGCACCAGCCTCGTATGATGACAATTACATGGGTAAGCTAAGATAGCAATATGTTCTAAAAGCATGAGTCATATAAATACGAAAACAAGCCCTAAATTACTGCTGTCACAATTGTGAGAGGGTTTGAAAATGTTTTGCCTTAAGTGCAATAGCAAACCAGTAGTTTGCTGGTTACTTCAGGGAAATTATTAACACTCTTAAAATTATGCACAGCAACAATTATGCACAGCAACAGGGTTTGAGGGTTGAGATCTTAAATGAGTCATTAGGGTTCTTATATTTGATCTTAAATAATTAAACAAAAATACAATTTTTTTTTTATTCAAAGATGGTGGATTGAACTTCAACTAATTAAAGACTATTTTAGTTTTAATAGATAACTAAAAATTCAGTTTTGTGGTGTTTTGTGCAGTAGTACACAAATATCCAAATTATTCTCACTGGTATTTAAAAGATACAATTGAAGTAAGCAATAATAAAATTTTGAAGTTTGAAGATACTGTGTAATAAATAGAAAAAAGGCTCTTTACCTCATATTGGTACTGATCTCTAAGAATTTTCATGATATTCACATCTCTTCATGTAAGGCAGGTTTTTCTTCACATAGTTATAGACAAGGGTCAGTGGAATTGGAAGGCAAAGATGCATCCTTTCACCCCTGCCCGTGGATTTGAAATTACACTCCCTGACACAGTCCAAAAGTCTTTACTGTGACAATAACAACTACCTCACAGATTTACTAAAGTTCCAAGAGGTGCTTAACTGCGTCTTTGGAAT